CACTCTGGAGATGGAGGCGAAGGTGGAGATGGGTGTCTTCAGCTTGCTGGGCCCAGTTGCAGCCTCGTTCCAGTGGGACGTCACAGCTGGACAGCGAGGCCGGGTGGGATCAGGGCGACGAGCTGGGGGCGGAGCCAAGACCTCCCGCCAGATCATCCGATCAGAGCGAAGGGAGGCAAAGGGAAAAGTCCCTTTGTGTTAGCAACCTCCTGGATTATGCTGGGCAGCTGCGAGAGGAGGGCGCAGATGGCTGGGAGCGGTGTTGTCGCCGACGTGGGAAGACCCGAGGTGGCTGAGTATCCGCTCGACCGCTTTTCTTCTGTCACTATGCTCTCCAGGATGGAAAGGGCAGCGAGGTTGTTTCCAGCATCGCCTTTCTCGGAGGAGTCATTCGATTCACTGCGTGACTCTGCGTCAAAGAAAGGCGGTGGCGTCGTCCCACGCAAAGCATTCCACCACGGAAAAAACACTCAGCGGAGCTGCTGCCTGCATCGCTTTTTTCGAGGGAATCATCCGATTCACCGCGAGGAAAAAAACGTTAGAAAAGGCGATGGTGTCGTCCAGAGAGTAGCGGCCCGCCACGGACAAACACTTAGCGGAGCTACTGCCAACAACGCCTTTTTCGAGGGAATCATCCAATTCACCGCGAGGAAAACATGTCAGACAAGGCGGTGGCGTCGTCCAGCGAGTAGCGGCCCTCCACGGAAAAACCCTCAGCGGAGCTGCTGCTAACGTCTCCTTTTTCGAGGGAATTGTCCGATTCACCGCAAGGAAAAAACGTTATAAAAGGCGATGGCGTCGTCAACGGGTAGCGGCCCACCACGGAAAAACACTCCTCGGCACTTACCTTGAACAAGGCTGCTCGTCTTTGCTTCTTCTCGGGAAGGAAGAGCTCACCAGGATGGCAGGAGGTTGGTATGGCGGAGACCCAGGCATCCTTAGTAAAGGTTGTGCTGGTCAAAGCTGGACACCTTTTCCTTCTTCGTTCTTCTGACAGTGCTAGCTAGCTGGCTGAAGAAAAAATGGGAGCCGATTGCCCGGTCTTACCATAATTTATACGGACCAGGGGTGGGGCCCACACAGCCAGTGGGCATGGACTACAGTTTTCAGTACTGCACTGCGCACGATGGGATAAACCCACTAGCGATGGCCTTAAAGGGCGAAGCCTATCTGAAATAGAACAATCTTTCTCAGTTCAGTTGATTTCAGTGTGCCGGTCAGGAGTGGAACTGCTGCGTTCTGGGACTCACTCGTGACGTGAATCTGAACGACACAGCGGCGTGTGTTGAATATGATGTGTGATTCGCTCACTGCAAATAAACTACATGTCACTCAGGGAATGAAACACTCTCCGACTCTGTCCTGAGTGATTCTGTTTCCTCCTCGCATATTATGCTCTCATGTTATTCGCAATGGCATCTGTTTGTCCAAGCTAACAGCTAACGTTGAGTCAAGCCACATGCAAATAAGCGCACACACGCCCCGTCCTCATTATCTCAACAGACTACTCATAAAATAGTGAGAGGAGACAGAAGAAGAGCGAGTGAGACTCACAACAGGGCAAGATGCAGCAGCGACACACGGTGTGTAGGTTAACCCAGTGTTTTTCAAAGTGGGGCCAGCAGCCCCCAAAGGGGGGTGCTAGTGGGGGGCCTCAGAAAGCTGGAGAGAAGATTTTTTAAAAAGCAACAAAAAAAAAGTAATAATAATAAAAACTGCACACTAGGGCAATCTGCATCTGTCATTTCCAGATAAACAAGTTTAAGAGAGAGGTTAGATTTCTTTAGTTTTGTTCTTCGGGTCAACAGTTTGTTGAAAAGCTGTTGTTTTTTTTCAGTGGAAATATAATATACTGTGTTTAAAACATGTTAGTTAATATTTCTATGCTCAGCAGCTGTAATAATTAATTGAATATA